TTTTCACACACCTTTGTTCAATTTACACATACACACACACACACACACACACACACACACTGAACTGTAATCCCTATAGTAAACTAACAGACACTACAACCCTAAAAAAAGACTCAAAGCAGGAACAGAAAATCCCATCTGCGGTGCTGCGACTCCCTGCAGGATCATTGGGAAAGTAGAATAGGAATATTCTGGGTTGGTTGGTGCCGGCGCCTCATTGCCCCAGCTCCATCCCTCCTCATCATCTCAATGCTCGTCTTCTGACCCTTTTCTTAACATCTCCGCCCTGCAAACCCACAGCCACGCATTCCTCTATCTGTGATCCATCCATCCCTCCACATGGCAGAATATAAAGCGGGGTGTGCTTACTGATCGTCCGGGATCCTATGCAGCCCATGTTGTCTTACAGAGGCTCGAACAGCTCGGGGAAAATAAAATCCATCCGTCCAGCGGGCATTTCTCCCCGGATTTCTCTCTCTCTCTCTGCGCTCCCCCACACCCAAACAACAGCCCATACAGCCACACTCGTCTGTTGATGGCCACTGAGCAATGGTAGTCATAAAAGTCCTTCTTTTTTGTATTTTACTTATATATTATAATCATATAATATAACATATTATATTACTTTGCGTAGTAGGCATACGTAAAACATCCAAGAATTAAACAATGATCGGCGCCCATCTTCATTCTTTATCATCAACAGGATAAGAGGCAAGAGGCACTCAACCTTCAGTTTTATTATGACTTCAAATAATCAGAGTAGAACAATGACTTTATATTGTCCAAAATCTCTATTCCACCACAATGAGTTACTAAAGTGAAACTAAAGTGACATGTGAAGTTAAGTACAGGCCGGTTCATTAACTGAATTTAATCTTAAGGAAAGGAAAGGAACAGCTTGATTGTTACACCCAAAAATAATACATGTTTTTCCAATAACATAATATGGAGCGCAAGATAACCTCTAACACTTTTTCCTGAAGAAAGATTTCTTCTTGCTTCCCCTCTCCAAACTACTTTCCTCTCCTAGCTCTTATCTTAAAAACAAATATCCCCTCATTACTCAATCCATAGCTCTCATGACTGAAATATCTCTTCCTCGCCTTCCCGTTTACATGCTCAATCTGAGGAATGTAGTCAGGTCACTGCAGCTCTCACACCGGCCGGCACTAGTTGCTACTGGCTGATCATAATGTTTTCCTGTGGTGTTCAATTCTGCTCAGAGCATCCTCTTAAATGTAAATAGTGCCAGTAGTGAGAGAACGGTTACCAAAGGCATTAATAGCAATGTACTGGTATGTAGTTTTTTTTCATCATGATATGCAACTTTAAAATTAGTCATTAGCCTCCAGCTAAAGGCCAGTAAATGACCACTGGAGCCCCGGTTACACCTACAACACCAAACAGTCCTGCATGACTCTCCTTCTTCAAGAAGGAGGGTGAGGTAATGATTAACCCGAGGAATAAATGTTTGCCTGGAAAAAGGGAGAAGGAGTTTGGAGGGCAGCTTGTGGGGAAAAGCCCTAAGCAATAACATTTACATAATAGAGATTCACTAAATAAAACACACATGTACATGTATGTATATGCAGTGTACCACTCACCTACAGTAAGAGCATCAAAGAGTCTATGTATGGTTCCTTGGTCTTTTACTATGCCGGACTCCTGGATACATTTCACAAACTCCTCCATCTGCATGTATTTTTTTGGCAGCTGGAAGCGTTTCACGGCGCCTTCCTCGTGCCCGTTGCCGTTGCAGGCACGCTCCCGCTCCTGGTCCCGCTTGACCCGACTGATAAGCCGCTTCAGCTCTGACCGTTTGTCCGCCTGCGGAGAGAAATGTCAATTATTGTTACAGTGCTAATCAATATGGTTATATGATCATTGTAGAATCAAGCTTTTCTTGAGGTAATGTTGTTTCTTTGTTTCTTTTTTGAATGTGTTGTACACCTCAAGTAAAATGAACGGAGGTCAATGTGACTAATCAGGTGCACGGCAATTAACTGAAGTGAATCCAGATAACAGCATTTACGACTCCATGTCACAGCTCAATAGCAGAGTACAACACAATGTCCTCATTGATCATGGACTGTACTGACCTGTGAACGTTCAGCTTCTGGCAGAGAGTCAACCAGTGACTTAACCATCTGAGAAGGAAAGATATCGGAGTCAGTCTTATAAAGACTCTGGAAGTCTTCTAGTGCATCCAGGCGCCTGTTGGACACAGTGTTCACCAAACCTCGCAGGTAGTGGTACCTATGAAGACAGACAGATGGATTTGGTTTAGTTGTCAAAAATTCAGCTGGTTTACTTGAGATGTTTATAATCTATCTGGAACTTGAGGTTTTGGCCTGGGTCAGTGATTTATTCCAGACATTTTGGGTTATTTCATGCAATTCTACAATGAATAACATGATACAATCGCTCATAACAGTTTGAATGTTTAGAAATCTAAGTATTTGCCTAAAACAAGAATGACTCAGCAGGAAATCAAACAGAAAAGCCGGATTTCCCTGTTGTCTAAGATTTGCAATATTAAGATATCAAATGTTTTTTCAGCTAAGCAATAAAAT